GGGCTCCCGGTCCCTCAGGCAAGAGAGAAGTGGGGCTCCCGGCCCCTCAGGAGAGAGAGAGGAGTGGGGGCATGTGGATACCATGCTTTCCAAAGCAGCGCAGACCACAGGCGAAAAATGTATTCATTCATTTTTTACCGCGGTCCAGCATTCTGCATAGGCAGGGGCATGACTTTAATTTCATAAACGTGCACTCAATAGTCTGTGATATGTGACAGCTTATCACACTCCTGGATGGGAGAAAGATCAGGACTACTGTTCTTTCAAAGATGGCAATTGTCCAGTCCAGAGCTCCTCAGCATCAGAAGCGCAAGGTCATTAGAGCGCCACCAACGCAGAGGACACAACCAGAGTGATGCTCTGCTTCCCATTTCACTTCCTCTATGTGCTGCACAGGAGCAAGAAACAGGGCCCATCAGAGAACACAACACACCCCACCCCTCAAAGCCTGGAACAGTGGCAGTTTTATGGAAACCGTGTCCCAGATGCTGTGAGGCTCATTCTGCGCTGTTTATGGTGGAAAATGGATTACAGCATGAGGGCTGGGAGAGTTACTCTGCAATAAAACACTGAGTTCAGTCAATTAGTCTTCAGGGCTCCATCACACAAAATAGCTCTGCTGCAAAAATTAAAACACAAGAGCTCAGCTCAAGTGTCAGCATGCACACATGCACAGTGGAGTCCGTGCGTCTTAGACACAGCACACAGCACTTTGGTCCTCCAAATGTATTTAGTTCTCCAGATGGAAGTTCTACATGGCTTTGAGCACAAGGCTCGTTTATATGGTATCTCTTCACATCATCTGTGCAGTTCGCACCTTGAGCCCAATCTGTAACACTAAAGCAACACTGATGCTACAATGTTTCTTTCTAAGCCGTGCGGTTACTGCATATCGACAGCTGGCATTTTACTTAAAAACACCAGTGTTTTTAACATAGTGGAACTCCCCAAAATGCATTCGGACACATTGTAAGAAACGGTCAACCACTGTACTAGGTTTTAGTTTCACATTTATCTAGACGCCTATAGAAGTTCACCTCCTAGTCTATTCAAGATAGTCTGCATAAAGGATTCTGATAAATTAGTGACGGTGATTATTACATTAATAGATAAAGAAAGTGAAATTTGTCAATATGAACATACGTTCCTTACCAGTTTCATTCCAACACATTCGGAAACCTTGGAGTTGTATTCCTCGATCTTGCTCCTGATCTCCTCCTCCGACAGAGCCTTTGGTTTTTCCTCCTCTTCCTTGGAGGCATTCTGAAACCCATGGAGCAAAAACAGGGTTCGGATTTAATACAAAGCATCAAATTCATGTTGCTCTGTTAAGTTTGTAACTTTGTAAGTGGCACATGTTGACACAATAACAGATCAACCCCTAAATTCAACTTCAACTTTCCAATAATCTAAGAAAAAATAAACCCAAAATGAGGACTGTGCTAACTGCTTGGCTCACAGTTTGTGCAGGTTGCTACTGGTTACCTAGACGAACAGGAATCAAATTTGATGAACTATTTAAAGGGATATGTGCTGTGGCCAAACTGAGGAGAATGTGGACACAGGTGCTGGACATCCACTGACCAGCTCAAGGCGGCAATAATAAATAATTTTGGGCTACCTGCATGATGAATATATACTTTATATACTTGAAATATAAATTCAAGTATATTTTCACAGCAATGACAGTGTGAGAGTATGAAAACAAGGGCATGGTTTGACTTATTTAGGGCTTCTCAACTTACTTGATAGGAGACATTAAATACACAGCACTGGAACTCTTTTCTTATAAACAGGGGAGTGAACTGGGTTAAGGAATTGTTGGATACCCGATGTTTGATATGAATTAACTCGGTTTACTAAAAAGCTATGAATGAGCACCAGAAGATAAACGCGGGTGATCAGAAGGATCCTGTAGCTGGACAGGCGTCCAATACCAGCTTTGAGCACAAAGATAAGCGACATATAAACCACAGAGTCCTATCCTAGTCCTAGCCAAATCTGTAACAGCACTTACATGACTGTCCCAGCTGCACAGACAATGGCTGAATCAAGCCTTCAGCTAGATGCTGTTCAAGTGATTTACAGGAGAAAGTAATGTATTGTTTCAGAACTTTTAACTCAGTAATTTATGTAACTGAAACCTCAGTAATCAAAGTTAACTTAAGTTTAGCAATATAGCTTCTGCACTTCTTTTCCAAGGCTCGATACAGAACTAATGTGAAGAGCACAGTATCAGGGGGTTAGTGTATACTGAAAATAGGTGGTATTTAGCACATGGTGATTAGTCAGTGCTTTCAGAAAAACTTGCCTTTCAGCATCCCTAACAGTTCTCTTTCTTTGTTAAGACATTATTTCGATGTCACTGCGCAAGTGACGGCTGAATCAGTGGTCCTACAACGCACACAACAAAGAAAGTGGTTATATATAAAATCCGTCAAGGGCAGTCTCCTCTGATGTCGGTCTGAACCCGGGGGGAGGGCAGTGCATCTTGGAGTGACAGGAGTGGAGCGTTTGTGGCCAGACCCTGGCTGCTCTCTCTCCACACCTGTTACTCTGATTCCAGCAACAATGGCAGCTCTCCCCTGAGGTGCTCAACGTGCGCACAGAAGATGATGCAGAAAGAGTAAACTTCAGCTCTGCAAAGGCTCTGCATGGCGCCAGTGTAACAATATCCCATGGGCATACAATGGTTTAAGAAAATGTTTCTTTTTTTAATACAGTAGCAAGTGGCATAGCCTCCTATAAACTGTAGAATTTCCCCACACGCCCTGGAAGGTCAAACCTCCTCCTGTATCTCTGGGGTTCACACAGCCTGCACATCACTGGAGCAGGGAGCCTCCTGGAGCAGCGTGACAAAGTAAAAATAATCCAAAACACCTGTGCGCATCATTTTACACTCCGCAACATACAGTTCGTCTCAACCGAAAAGATTTCTCTCTCTTTTAACAAATGTGTTTCGATTTCTGCTGAAGGGCTGAGAGCCGAGCTAAACTTCGCAGAACTGGACTGGAAATAAGGCAGAATAAAGGCTCCCACTCCCCGATTACTTGAAGAGTGAAGCTGCCCTTTTCAAAATAGTGCGTGTGACATCACAGCAACATGATGATCCCAGATCATAACAGTAAGAGAACATTTTTCAGCAGCCTGAAGGAGGTACCAGGGTAAAATGCACGTGAGTGTCTGGAAAACTGTGCAAGGCTTTGTGAATTTGAACCCTAATGACAATAGGTCAAGATGTAAAAACCGTGATCGAAAGGAAGGTGAACCTCCAGCCCCGATTTGTCAGTTTCTCCCCGGAACACTATGAGCTCCAAACCCCCTCTTCCTCCTGAGGTCCGGCCTGCTCTGATGCTCATCTGCACCCCTGTCTCCAAAATCTATTTTTACATCTACATTGATTTCAAAGGAAGAATTCAATGTGCGAGCAACATGACCTGTCAACATGGACCCTTGCTGGTGAAGTAATGACCGCTTCCAGATACTCGATTTTGTTTTTAGTTTAGCCATTCTTCACGTCTGAGTAGACTTCGGCAGGACAGGGCTTCGACAGCGGTATTTTGGGATTCCGGCTGCGCCTCCCGCTGCTGGGATAATTTAACAACCCATCATTTATTCATCATTAACCTCGCGCGCGGGCTGACCAGAGACATGAGTTATTTTCCGAGAAGTGTGGCGGCAAATCCGCTTTCCTTCCCAAGAGCAGAACATCCCTGCTTGAGGCTAATCGGTGCCATCTGAGGCCTGCAGAGCTTCAGTAAATTAACGGGAACGCAGAGACCAGACAACAGATTGCTAAACTGTCATGCGTCAGGGGGTCACAACATTTTTTTACCATTTTAATTCATATGTTTAATTATCCTAATCATTCCAAGGACTGTCTTGCAAGAAAAAAGAAAGAAGCAAAACCGTCCACCTAACTGTTGGTTTAAAGTCTGTTTTACAACCCAGAGACACTGAGTGGCTGTGAAAGAGCTGATAAAAACAATGAAATCAAGGACTGTCATTCATTCACAGTGCTGTGTAACTGCAGGGGAGAGTTTTCAGCCAAACAGAAGTGATAACGTCAGGTCTGAGTGCCTGTTCTGTATGGAATGCACCATACAAAAGTGGAAAAGCTACGACAGCGCTCAGGAGGGGGTACTGAGCGTGGCAGCAGGCTGAAGGCCCCACACAACTCACAAAGACAGTGCTTGCAAACTTGGGTCCAGATCATGTGCAGAAATGCCCAAGTTTTCTTTCTCAGGCTAGAACTGAACAGGAGATACAGTGAGGACAAGGGAGCTGTTATAGGGGGCAGGGATGGAGGAATCCCAATTTACATCTTCAGTTGCTGGTAGCCGAGTTATGTCATCGGGTTTGAAGGGACACACAGTCAACTCCTATGTCTTCCAAGACACTCCCTCTTACACTTTCTGTAATACTTTTTTTCACTTCAAGTTTTGAAGTGCATTGAAGCTCCATTCAGTGTTGTGACCCCAGTTCCTGATTTCATCTCTTAGCCCGAAAAACAATGTTTCAGAGTGGACGGGCAAGAGTGCACCTGCAGGCGTGCTCGCTGACAGGCCCATGCGGGGGGGAGACACAGCACGACTACAGGTGGCGATTTGGGGAAGATGCGTCCCCCATCCCATCCCCAGCCTCCTCTCCGGGGCACTGCAGCATGCCTCACTCTCTCAGGGCCTCCCTCAGAGAAACCCCTGCACTCCGTGTGTGTGTGTGAGAGAGAGACCCCAGCCAGCCTCTCCTGTGCTAAATATACAGGACCGCCAATTCCTGAACACACTTTCCTCCACAAACATAGAAAGTGTTTACTTCAGAAATAGACAAAAGGCGCGCCACTCCTGGAGAAGCGTGAGCTGGCTCTTTCCACCCGGCCCTCATACAGCTCACGTCCAGCAGCAGCTGAGGGAGAGGTACAACACAGGCGCAGATAGGCAGAGAACTAACTCATGCCCTCGTCCTCTCACCCCGTGCAGCCCACTGGTACTAGGAAAGGTTTGGCCACAGACTACAGCTCGTCCACAGATTTATTTTCTCTTTTAATGCTGGCTGTCTGCTAAAGAAGGACTACAAACCTTCTGACATGGAGCACAGACCTTCTCAGGGCTCTCTAAATGGACGGCATTATAACTTGTATCCATTATCCAGATTATCCTGCCTGTTACAGAATAATGGGATAAACCTGTTGCCGTAGTGGGAACTTTACGTCATGGTGATCATAATCCACACCATGGGAAATGTGTTGCCTGCACCTGGGAAGATATTCACATTATAGGTGAGCTCATTAAGGCTCTAAGAGAGTGAAGCAGATTGCTTGTCTCTGGCCAGGTTGCCTTCAAGACCATAGCTTGATAATACTATCGATATTTTATTTTCCAAAAATTGTCAATACATGAAACAAAAATGAGTAATCCAGGTAGAGCGGTTGATTTGAATGATTAAATTAAACCCCAGCAGATCTGTCAGACTAGCCATGTGTGGATAGTCTTATTCTTCAACACAGAAAGGAGTGCTGAGGACACAGGGAAGATCTTTGGTAAGAGAAAAGATCATGTTAGAGAAAAACGCTGTGAATTGTTGGTGATAAAACAATACAAAATAGCCAAAGATCAATGCATAGCCGCAGACTTGCATGATACAGTATTACCACACTCCCATCAAACATATCGACTCTCTGTAGTGAAAACTAGATCACCCAGTTGTAAGCATCTTGAGCATAGAGCACAGCTTTCAGGGGTGGCCCCTAGGTGGGAGTAAAGCCAATACTTGTTCATTTCTGCTGATAAAAACTCATCACTCTCTTCACTGGCATTAGTTAAAACCAGGCTTGCTGACGCAAAGGGGAAGAAGATCGAGAGGGAAAAGTGTTCAAAACATAATATTTCCATTTCCAGTGCGGTAAGTGGCAGCAAAGCTCAGCACAGACAAAGAAGAGGTAAACCATATGATGGAAACTTGCATAGTAGGAGGGTGGTCTTAGATGTGTGACTGTCCTTCACTGTGCTTTTACCTTGGTTATACTCTAGAGCAGAACGGCACATGATTGCGGTATACTGCACAGTAATGAGGGCTGGTCACAGGCGTGGAATGTGCTTTCTAGTAGATGAGTTACAGATGTCAAACCTGCCTGACGGAGACAGAAATTCTCTCTCTTCGGGTTGCCCACAGAAACTCCAATTCAAGAAGAAATCAAACTTCCAAGCAAATTTCAAAAGCACTCAGTGCTTCCTGTGTTAGCTGTGACTGCTGTTAGGCAGCTC